TCTGCGCCCCGCGCTCTCCCATGCCCGTCTCCACGTACCACTGTCCCGCCCTGTTGATGCGCAGGATGGGCTCCCTGCCTTCCACATCGGAGCTCTGCTCGATGATCTGGGGGCTGGTGGACTCCTCGGGCGGGCTCAGCTCCCGAATGTCCAGCACGGTGCTGACCTGGCCCAGGCGGCTCCCCTTGGGGGTGTTGTGACGGGGGCTCAGGGGACGGTTCAGAGTCGGCGTCGCCCGGTGAGACTCGGGCGGCCTCTCCTGATGCTTCGTCCTGCTCTGGCTCAACTCCGCTTCCACCTCGGCCACGTTAATTTTGAAATGAATCCCCTCGAGTATCTGCGTGCATTTGTCTATGATGTGCTGCATCTGCAAGAAGCTGGCAGCTGTCAGGTAACTGATGATGTCAGCCAGCTGCAGACATATCCTGCCGGTGTAGCAGAAGGAGAGGAGCTGCTCGAACACAGAAGGGTTCTTGATGACGGAGATGGACACGGTGCTCATCTCGTTCAGGGACATGTGGTCGCGGAAGTAGGGGGAGCTGGCGGCCAGCACCACCTTGTGCGCACGGAAAGCCTGGCCCTGCACGTTGACCACGATGTCACACAGCCGGCCCTGCATGCGCAGCTGGTTCAGGTGGCTCAGGACAGAGTTGCTGAAGTTGGGAATCTCCAGCTGAATGTTCCCACTCTTCTCCATGGCTGTCCCAGCTGCAGGTGCACCACTCTACTGGAAAAGGGGGAAAAGATCCCATCGTTAGCAGAACCAATCATTTGAAATTAAAACTTTTTTCACCTGCTTCCACACAGTTTGAAACACTGGAGTTTTTAGAGACCTTCCTCACCCACTAAACTGCCACACACCTGGCAGCAGCTCTGTTATGAATGAGTGTGTTTGAGATTGCATAAAAAAGCATCCCAAAAGCTCTCTGATCTCTCCATGCTATGCATCTCCCTGCACAAGAGTTCTGCTAAACCAGTTCCCAACAGGCCCCCATTCCCTGCAGCTTTAGCCTGCAAAACACTTTGTTCTACCAGCCTCAATAAAAGCACATCTGCATGTGAAAAGAACATTAAAAATGGCACAGGTATTAAAAATAGCCACCTGATTGCATAATGGATTAAAATTCTCACCACTTGTACCTCCTAAGCATCTTGAAAAGAGAAAGTAATAGGGAAAGCTCCTTTGTAAAACAGGAACCAGGAAGGAGACACTGAGACCTAAATCCTTCTGAGACTTTTGAAAAGTTGGCCAGCACACATCTGACCTCAAGGCATCCTAAGTGCCTTGTTAACCTGAGATATCCATCATATGTTGCACTTCTGACACATGCCAGGAAATATATAACAGGACAGTAAAAAAAAAAAGCTGTGGCCCAGAAGAGCTCAGAGAGCTTCACTCAGGATCACTTTTGCAGGGTCCCAAGAGACTTCACAGTGGTCATCACTAAGTCCCCATCCTGGCCATACCCTAGGTCAGTAACTCCAGGACTCTTTCCCAAGCAGAGCAATAGTGGGACTGTTCCACTTGGGCTACAATTCACAGTGGTGCTGCTCTGCTCGGGCTGCAGTCCAGGTAAATGCTTCACCCAGGCTGCACACGGCTCATCCCTTGTTTCCCACCTGGGCTGGGATGTTCCTCGTTGTTCCCACCTCTACCAGAGCTCCTGGCAGGCTCAGGGAGCACCTCACTGCCCAGCTGGTGCAGTCAGGGCCAAGTCCACCACGGCTTATCAGGAGATCTCAGAGCAGGGCCAGGGAGGGGACTGGGGATGCACCACCACATCATCACATTTCCTTCTGGCAAAGTTGGAAAAGAAGCCCTGACCATATATGGTCAAAAGTTGGAATGAATGAAAGTGAGACATAAACTCATCCAAAAAGAAAAAAAAAAAAAAAAAGGCAAGTAAATAAGCTTGTCAAAGTCCACTCATGGCATAAGCAGCTCCCAAGCTAGAGAGCATCTCAAGTGTGGATTGAGCAGAGTTCTGCAGATGACAAAACCATTTCAAGCAGGCTGGGAATACCAAGGCTCACAGTGCCCACTCTGAGGAGTCTCTGAATGGAAGGGATTGGCACATGAAGAGCATGTCTGCCTTTGGAGGACTTTTTATTTGGAACTGATGAACATTGCAGCATAGCATATGTCCATATGCCCAAGCAGGCTCTGTGCAAACCTGGCAAACCCAGTGACTAAACACGAAGTTGCAGGACAGCCTGTCAATCTTGTGGAGCTGTGCCAAGGATTTCTGAGTGGCAGGATGGCTGAGTGTCCCTAGGGAAGTCAGACCAGTGTGCACAAAGCTTCACAAGGTGCAGCTGAACAGTGCCAGGTCATAGGGCTTCTTCTTTCCTTCCCCTATCACAGAATCACAGAATGGCTTGGGATGGAAGGGACCTTCAAGCTCATCCCATCCCACCCCCTGCCATGGGCAGGGACACCTTCCACTATCCCAGGGTGCTCCAAGCCCCATCCAAGCTGGCCTTGGACACTGCCAGGAATCCAGGGGCAGCCACAGCTTCTCTGGGCACTCTGTGCCAGGGCCTGCCCACCCTCACAGGGAACAATTAATTCCCAATATCCAATCTGAACCTACTCTCTGTCAGTGAGAAGCCATTCTCCCTCATCCTATCCCTCCATCCCATGTCCTGAGTCTCTCTCTGTCCTTCCTTTTGGCTCCTTCAGGCACTGGAGGCCACAGTTAGGTCACCCTGAAGCCTCCCCTCTCCAGGCTGAACCACCCTAATTCTCTCAGCCTTCCCTCACAGCAGAGCTTCTCCATCTCTCTGATCATCTTGGTGTCTCTTCTGGACTCACTCCAACAGCTCCATGCCCTTCCCTATCTTTCGGAGAAAGCAACAAATCCCACAAAAATCAGAAACCACAGTGCACAGCTCTGTGCCAACACAGCACTGGGAGCAGAACACCAACTGCACAGAACAAGGGGAAATAGAAAACCCAACATCTTACCTGGAGTGCTGTGAGTTACATGCAGTGGGAAGGAAATGGGGGTGCTGCCTTCTTTTTTTCTTCTGATGTAGTAAGAAGAAAACTTGTTGCCCCCTTCCCCTTTAGGAGGTAAAAAGAAAGAAAAAATGAAGTGCAGAGGAATTGGGCTCTCCCAAGAGCAGTTGTGAACATCAAGCTTTGTCATTCTTGGTTCTGCTGGAGGATCTAGCAGCAGGATTAGCTCACCATCTTCCCAAAACAGCTGTTCTTAAAGCAATAGGCCTCAGAGTACACTCTCAAGGAAGGCAAGGGTGAAACACCCCTGCCAAGGCCACAAGCACCCAGGGAGGCAAGAGGGAGGCAGAGGCTGAGATTGGGATATACAGAAATAGAAGGGCAAAAAAAATCATCAGCCCTTAACTGCTGAGCATGGCTGGGTATGGCTGTGGTGAGAAGGCAGCTGCTCCCCAGAGACCCCAACAAATTATCTGTGAGCTCAACAAATTATCTGTGAGCTCCTGCTCCAGAGGCAGGGAAAATCCATCTACTCGTTATAACCCACAGAACCCTGCTCACCCAGTGCCAAGGAACCTGCACATTATGACCCACTCAGAGGCTGGGGAGAGGGAATCTGTCTTTTGGTTCAAACTACTCTGTCAGAGGCTGATTTCTGCCCCTCTGAGTAAGGGAATCTCTCAGAGCTCCTGCACCTCAGCCCCAGGGCAATGACATTCTGATTTCTGCCTGCTCTGGGAAGTCCATCACCTCCAGCCACCTTTAGGTGCAGGCTGAGCTGAGTCAGCTCAGGGCACACACTGAGACACTGCTCTTTGTAATACCAAGTGTCACCAGCTGAGACTCAGACTTAGCTCAGCAAATGCCCTCCAGCCTGTGAGGCAGCGACCAGGAGTGGGTGGAATTCCAGATCCATCAGGGAAGAAGCAGAGACAGACCACCCAGCAGATGATGTCACCCTGGAAGCTGCACTGAAAACTCTCAGCTTTTGGGCTGAGATTTACCGTGACTGGGCAACTTCAGAGACTATCCTGAGCTGGAAGGGACCCACAAGGATCACTGAGTCCAACTCCTGGCCCTTAACTATAGCTTAACTATCCCACCCTGTGCCTGACAGCATTGTCCAAACCCTCCTGGAGCTCTGGCAGCCTTGGGGCTGCGCCCATTCCCCGGGGAGCCTGCGCAGTGCCAGCACCCTTTGGGGGAGAGCCTTTCCCTGAGATCCAGACTAAACCTCCCCTGACAGAACTCCAGCCGTTCCATGGCTCCTGTCCCTGGTCCGAGAGAGGCATACTTAGAATCCCAGAGTGGTTTGGGTTGGAAGGGACTTCAAAGCTCATCCGTTTCACCCCTGCCGTGGGCAGGGACACCTTCCACTGTCCCAGGGTGCTCCAAGCCCCATCCAAGCTGGCCTTGGACACCGCCAGGGATCCAGGGGCAGCCCCAGCTTCTCTGTGCCAGAGCCTCTCCACGCTCACCGGTAACAATTCCTTCCCAACAAACCCCTTGGGCCGCCTGCACGTTCCAACGGGACTCCGACAACTCCGAGCCCAAACACAACTCTGAGCTGGGACAGGCGGCGGCGGCTCCCGGCCCGTCCGCCGCCCTCCCTCAGCACCAGGCTCCCGGAGCCCGCTGTCCCGGCCCCGGCGCTCCCGACCCTCCCCAGGCGGGGCCCGCGGCTCCTCCTCACCGTGACAGCCGCGGCCGCGCACCGGGGCTGCGCGGGGCGGGCGGGACCGGCCTCCCCCAGCCCCCGCCCCTCCCGGCCTGGCTCCTGCGGGGCGGCGGCCGCGCCCCCGCCGCTCCGGAGCCCCGAGCGGCTCCGCCCGCCCCTCCCGGCCCAGCCTCACCTGCCGGGGGTGGGAAGGGCCCGCAGCGCCGGCCCGGAACCGAAACGCGCCAGCGCGGGCCGCGCCCCGGAAGGAAACGCCGCGCGGACCGTACGCCCCCGGCCCGCCCCTGCCCGTGGGCCGCGCCCCGCTGGGTGTGGCCGCGGCCGCACCACGTGATCTGTGCTATATAAGGTACGTCCTCCAGCCGCTCTCCCTTTTCCGCTCCCGCGGCCATGAGGGTTTCTTTTCCGTCTGGGGCCCTGCCGGTGAGTGGGGGCGATTCCGCGCTCGGGGTGCGCCGGTGCCGCTCCTGGGGGCGGCCAAGGAGCTCCGCGAGTGCGGCCCGGGCGCGGATGGGAGGTGGCGAAGGAGGATTGAGGTGGATTGCGCGGCCGGGCCTGGTCGCGGCCTAGACCGCCGGGGACTCCGCCTCATGGCGGCCTGGGCATGCACAAGGGAGGCCCTGTGGAGCCCACACGGGTTTGGGGGAATGCCGGGGCAGTGCAAGGCCTCAGGCGTTGAGTTCCGGGCTCTGGCCTACCAGGCTGCTGTGCATGGGATGGGGCCGTGCAATATGGCGGGATCACGTGTTTGCTGCAAACACAAGCGATAGGTCTCCGCTTTTTGTGGATTTGGGTTTTTTAACTGAGCTGGGCTCTAAGGAGCTTGTTTTTGCAGATAAATGGGAAAGTTGTGCAAAGAGCAGCGGTAGCGTTATGGAAGGATTCAGGGTCCCACACAGCTGGGATGTGTTTGCATGTAGGAGAGTTAAGGGCTCGCTTCACAGCCCCGGCCCTGCTGGGCTTTGGGAAACATTGGCAGGGTGCTCTCAGGCACATCGGTGACTCTTGGCCTGTGCGAGTCTGAGAGTTAAACTCTGCGGTCCTTGTGGGTCCTGACTCAGCACATTTGAAGAGAAGTGGCTCACTTCGCTTCTATATGCTCAGCACGTGATGAGAACTATGTTGGTAGGGACATCTGAGAGGGTGATGAATGCCAACATATCTGAGCTGGGCATGGGATAGTTCTGATGGCCTTATCCGGAAAGGCCGAACACCACTGGGCCTTTGAAGCAGCCAGAGTTCATGCCTGCCCCAGTGATAATGCACCAGAATTGCTTTTGTAGGAAACGAAGTAGCTTAATGATCCCATCCTGCTTAAAAATACAAAAATAGCAATTACCTTTTGTGACCTCAGTCCTTTAAAGAGCCAACATTTAGATTCCATCAGGGGAAATCATAAGACTCAAAGTATTTTGGGTGTTGCTTGGATTTTTCAAAGTAGTATTTGTGAATATTGCATCCTTTTTGGATAAAGAAAAACTAATATGATTTCTTGTTTTCAGTTCTACATGTATCAGCTATGTTCTTCCTTCCTGTGGCTTCAGTGCAGGTAAATATTGCTTCTGAAATACAGTTAAAATTAACAGATTTTGGGTTTGTGTACACCAGCTAGACTGGGGTACTGCTGTATCAGGGAATTGCAGTGTCAGAGTTGTAATTCAGGCCTTGCCTGCAGTGTCTCGGGCAGGCCTCACTTCTCTGCTGCGAAAAGTCACCTGTTTACTTGTCCTGGAGAATGTTTGTTTATGAGGCTCCTGTTGATGAACTACTGCTCATTCTGTAAGCAGAGTGCAAGAGTATCCCCAGGGCCTTTTTTCCTTACTGCTGTTTCTTTGTTCACAGCTGTAAATAATGTTTTGGGAAAACTGGAGTATGTTGTAGAAAATTGTTAACTATGGGGATTGATACTGAGTAAATCCCAAAGCCTGTGATGGTTTCAGTATAAGAGTAGTGGACAGAAGTAATTTCTGAAAACTCCATGCTGAGGCTTTCCAATGTGGTTGCCAGAGAAGATCCCTAGTTCTGCAAACATCTCCATCTAACTTTTTTATCTCTTTCAGATCCGTCCCCAAATGTGGAGACCTAATACTACTTCTTTCCAAGGTAAAAAAATTATTCTTAAAAATTTAATTTAAAGTTATGCTTAGTGTTTGTCTAGACAGCATCTGCTGCTCTGATGCTGTCAGCTGAATTCCTTGAGTAAAGCTCTCCCTCTGGTGCCACAGTGATGACACTTATTTGCTACTCTTGACCAAAAGAGTGATGAACACTTTTACCACCATAAAAGTTTTCTGAGGCACAGCAGCTTCAAATTCCCCTCGATGTTTTGACTGCTGAACAGACTGTTAACAAGTGTTTTACTTCTAGGATTTAAACCCTGCACTTCAGAGGGATGCAGAAGGAACATCATCCCCTGGTAAGAAATACGTACTTCCTGTTGCGGTTTCTTCCACAGAGCTGTTCAAACACTGCAGTAAGAAGGATGGCATGTGTTTTATGGTTCATTTCCACTAAGACCAGGAGCCATCTATACTTTCTAGTATTCAAACTTGTAAATATTTCTTTTTTAATTGGGGAAATGTCCTTGTCGCAGCAGTCCCAAGAGGGGATTGCTTGGTGCTGTGGTTGCAGAGCAGATACAGTGATGACTGCATAGTTCAGCAGAATATCCTGTGATGAACAAATGCTTCGCCCCTATCTGATGTATCTGGCTCTTGGGATCTCCCAGCAGGGGCTGTGGGCTTTGGGCACAAAGGGTGAAGGGATCTGACTTTGTTTCCTGTTCTTGCAGGCACTGGGAGATTGAACTATAAGCTGTCACAAGGTAAGTACTGCGCCTCTGACATCTGAGAACTCATTTAATCCCTGCTGTGTGCAAAGGCTGCTGTGTGATGAGTGCATAGTTCAGCAGATGACCTGTGATGATCACAGTTCCTGTCTTTCGCCAATTTCTGATGCAGCCTCTGTAGCTTAGGCAAGTTCAGACAAATCATGTGGGAAGCTGAAGGGGATACACTTGGTTTTTCTCTACATTTATCTCAGGAGACTAGTAAGTAGGTTAAACAATAAAAAAGTAGTAAGATGAGTAGAAAGATAGAGTAGGATGTGGTTGTGAAGTCAAGCACAAAACATAGCAGAATAAGGTTAATCAGGTGTTGGTGCTCCAGGTTCTAAAAGTTTCTTGTTGCTTTGCAGGCTGCCCTTGACAGATGGGCCCCATGCCTTTTGTGTGAGAAACCATTTCACCTGTTACTGATGTTGGTGAAGACAAGGCCTTCCTAATTAAAGGTAGTTACTTAAAATTCATTTTTTACATTTTTTACATAGCTACTTTTGTCTGTGCTGCATTTGAGAGTTTGCTTTTAGAGATGCTTGCAAATTCGTTTTCTTCTTAAGAAGTGAGAGGCAAAAATTAGTACTGTAAGTGTGCTTTTAGCTGCCTGTATTTCACAGTAAAAGCATCAAGTAATTGTAGTGTTAATGATCTCTAGAATTTTCCTGTTGAAACTAAATGGTGAATGCTATGTTACTGTGACTTCAGTGTCCAGAATAGTTACCCTTCACATGCCCAGCTTGGTTACACAAACCTCACATCACTGAACTCTGCAGTTGCAAGGTTTGCTCCTTCCTGCAATTTCAGCATTGGTGAGGTGAGGAATGAACATCTCAGTATTGAAGAGTGCTGGGAAATGGCTTTATTACAACCTGCCTTCACAAGGGGGAGATAGGAGTGTTGCAGCCTACTGTAAATGATGTTGAATCAGGTCTCTGATCCCCATGAGGAGGAATCAATCAAACCCTGATACAGTAGTTCACTCAAGCTGTTCTTAATACTGTAACTTCCTGCTGGACCTTGGCTAATAGCAGATTTTTCTTTGCAGGCTTGCAAATGTTTCTCATTTTGAGGTAAGTACTTTTTTTTACTTCCTAAATGTTGGAATTTCAACATAGGCCCATAAGTTTTTAACTGCTTGTCAGCTAGGGGGCATGGGGCCCATTGGCTGTGGCATGCATCTCAGCCAAAACAAGAGGATCTTTTAAAGGGGAGCTGCTGGCTGGAACCCAGTCTTGACAGGCTGGTGTGCACCAAACTATCACAGTGAGCTCCTCTTGAATTTGCTCTGATGGCACTACTTAAGTGTTTGCCCTCTTGCCCATAGCAGCCTAGCAGGGCTGCACAGGGCTGACAGTGTGAGCTGCCTGTGTGATGAGATGTGACTGCCTTGACTTCAATCATGGAGGTCTGTAATTAGCTCTATCTGACTGCAGGCACCTGACTTGGGTTTTTTCCTTCTGTGCTTGTTTCTGTACTGTGCTAATGGTTTGCTTTGATCCAGGTGTGATGGAGCTGGGAAGTGATGGAGCTGAGAGTGCTGCCAGCAAAAGTAAGTTAGAAACACATGAGTGTGACTGTCAGAACTGTGTGATACAGGGAATGAGGAATTTACTAGATCCTGGGTGTTACAGGGCTGGCTGCAGCATTAAGCAGGGTTCTTGAGTTTATTACCTTTTCCAGGTAAAAAAGCTGGATTTTCCAGCAGCCTGCAGGATTCACTCCCCCAAGGTGCTGCATATCTCAAAATTACTACTTAGTGTAACTAAAAAAATATATGGTGACCATTTTAAATGTGTAACTGGTATGGACTTCTTGAATTCCTACTCAATGAGAAAAGCTCTGTGCTACCAGGTTGCCACACATTCTGGGCTAAATAAATGCAGGACAATAGCAGTACCTGCTATTAAACTTCTTGCTGTTTAAATTGAATAGGCAGTTTCAGGGAGTGGCACTGATCTTGAATGCTTAGGTGTTAAATTGTTTATCTCAATGGCTAGATCAGAGCTCTTCTGGTGATGTGAATGAAGATGTGGTTAGGGCTGAGGTCAGATCCCCCTTTAAAGGGTTTGTCACAAAGATAAACCATTAAGCTACTCTTGGCATGTACTGTTTGTGATGAATTCTAAACAATGGGAATCTCTCTGAAAGAGGCTGAGGAGAACTCTTGTGCTGAAACAGTACCCACATTGACACTTGTTCAAACCACTGCCAAAGGTGTGTTAGTACAATTTCCCTTCTTTACAGGGTGATGCTTGCATGGAGTTTGAGAGCCAAGATAAATGTGCCTGAGGTAAGTGTAGAATACATGGGATTTAATAATTCCTGCAGTATTGTCTTTGTGCTCAATGCCTAAATAGTGGTGCCTAAAATTAGTCCTTTAAGATACCTGGTTTTTCTTCCTTTTATTGTATCTGGCTGTTCTCTGGGCACTAATGTAACACTGCACTCTGGAATTGAAATAAAAACATTGTCTGTGGCTGTCACTGCTCAGAGTTGTTACTAGTAATCTTTATATTGGCTCTACACAAATGTAGCTCAAGTTCTAGATTATTGCTGTACAAACTTGTTTTCAAACAAAGTGGAACACTCCAAACACTTTAAAATTGAAGCCATGGGACTTGTATTTTAGGTACTTAAAATAATGAAATACAACATTGTTCAGAGAGGCAGTGTCACAAATCAAATTAGTAGCTTTTTACTTTCCCTGATTCTTACAATGTTAAGAATTCTGTATTTCCAGTTAAGTTAGCATTTGTAAGCTGTGTGTATCCTCTTTGGGTGTTGTAAATTGAATTTGAGATACCCAACTAAAAGTCAGTTTCCTTTTAGGCAAAAGTTTAGTGAATAGAAATGAATAGATAAACTTTGCATTTAGTGCTGCTGTCTGTTATTCTGAAAGTATTTCTTTCTTCCTCAGGAAGGGACTGTGCTGTGTCTGCGGCCTCACTGGGTAAGTCCACAGAACAGGTGAATTGTACTAAAAACTTCTGGAAATATTTGTAGCCACTGATGATATTGATTCTGCCAAATGAGTTCCTGTGATATCACCCTTTCCGTTCCACTTCTGTCTGAGGTTACAAAACTGTTTTGGAGCTTTTAGCAGTTGTGCTGCTGCATATGCTAACTGTGTTTTCTTGATTTAGGTGGAGAGGCAGCTCTGAAACTAGCATATGAAGAATTGAGAAGGTGAGTGTAAGAGCAGTAATAATGTATTTGTTGGAACAAGTGATGATAACCTTAGCTTGAACTCTCTCACTGAACAGAGATGAAATCCTAAGGTCTGAGATGTTCCCATCAAGTGTGTTGTGCTGGTTTGGTACCTTATAATGGTTCTTCTGTCTGTCTTAATAGGTGGAAGATTGGATGAATGGGTTACACTTGCATGAACAGCATTAAAAAAGCCAATGTGTTTTTACCTCACTGGTAATGTTTGCCTGATGTTGATTAAAGTGAATAAAAATCTGTAAACTCTACCTGGTGTTGTGACCTCATTTCTGGCTGGAACAGCTTGATGCAAAGTACCTCAGGCTGCTATATTTAAATTTAAAATGCTTAATTTAGAGCAGGGACTAAAAGGGGCTAGATGCTAGTCCTGCAAGTGTCTTAACTGAGGTGTCAAATACTGCTGGTGTGCAGGCTGCAAGTCACCATATTTTTGAGAAAGCTAAATAAGTTAGGGAGTATTTCTTTCAAGTTTCTTTCAAGTGTTTTAAGGAGAGAGCTAAACTTGTATATTTGCTACTAAAGTAGTAGTCTGCCAGTAATCCTGGTATTCCTTGTTCAGGTGCAGATCTTCTCAGAACAAGTGTACAGCTTGGACTTGGTAACCCTTTTCCAAGTGTTGTGGATTTAAACAGCACAACACTTGGTCTTTGGGGGGGAAAAGTTGGTGAGGTGGGAGATTTTCATAATGCTAATTAAAAACAGTTACTGTTTAAAAATCACTAAGGCCTGCCATTATGTTTCTGCTTTCTAATGCTCCTTGAGGGAAGCTTGCTTTTCTGAAAAATTCAGTTAAATTCCTCCCTGGTCTCAGGGGTGATGTCAATGAGAGAAAAGTCAGCATATGAAAGTCAGTTATGAAGAACTCCCTTTCCATAACACTTCAACTACTGCTGTAGCACTTCTAATGAGAAATAAACTACATACTTGAAATTCAGCAGGATTATTTTCACATTATTAGTGGGGCTTAGAATCTTTCAATAGGAAGAGTAAATTTGTTACGTTTCCCACCCACTCCATCTGGTATGATTTTGAATTACATTTTAAAATGTTTTTATCCAGAAAAGTACTTCATCCTAGAGAAAATATATTTGGACAGTGTCCACATGTGAACTAAAACTCTTCTGCACTAAAAAGCCAGTAATAAGGTTTCTTTTCATCCAGAGCTGATTAGTAGCCACTTAATATTCTCCCATTGTGTTACTTTTTAAAATACCACACTTCATTATGCCTGTTGAAGAGCTTGAAGGGACTGTCATAGCCTGCAGTATAAAAGAAGTCTTCGTGGAATGGTTGGCCTCTGTTTCTTAAGGTTCTGGCCAAGGCATCAGCTTCCTCAGCATACTTCTCTGGGGAGGCAAATCCACCAAAGGACCTGGTAAAAGTTAGAAAAGGGAGATGTTTTGGCTCAAGGCCCTGGCTTTATTTTCACAGACAGAATACTCAGACTTACAAAGCAAGTTCGAGCACTTGTGCTGCAGGTTGTAGTTAGTAGTTACCCATTCCAAACTAGCAGTCAAGCAGCATGGGTCCTTGTTTTTTAAGGTAACACTTTAAACAAGCACCTAAGTACCAGCTGCCCTATGTATTCTGTGGCAGTTCAGGACTACAAATAAAGAGCTGGGAGAGTGGTTTAGATAATCTGTAAAACAAACTGTCTTCAGAAGATTGTTCTGGAGGCTGCATCTCTATGAAACTCAATGCAATTTTCAAGTGCCTTCTAAAACAATCTGTTTCACAACTTGGTCACTTGTCTTTATGGTAAGACACCCAAGCATAAGATTGCCTAAGGGCTGGGTTTTAGCAATTAAAACTGAACAGCAGGGTCTATCCATATTTAATCATGTCTTAAGCAAGTGTAGCCTGCACTTGAATGAGGGCAGGTACTGCCCGGGTTCTCGTGGTGTCAGCTGTGCTGTTCTGCTCACCGGACAAAGAGAGCTGCTGCCTTCCGTTCCTCAATGAACACATCGGAGTCAGTGGGCTGGGGGGGGCAGTCCTGGTGTTCAAAGGGCACAAAGAAAGAGATCTTGAAGTCTGTGCAGCCTGATTTTACCAGGCAGGTCACTGGCACCGTCATATCAATCTTCATTTCTAGAGGAAAGGAAAACCAGATGTCTAAGCTGCATCTCCCAGCCCCTCTAATGTTCATTATTTGTGTTCATTAGCTACTTGTAATTATTTTCATTGAAAACCAGCTTGTCCTACCTTTTTCATTCTTTCCCTGGAGGTAGTGGAAGAGTTTCCAGAAGCCCTGGCGCATTGCTTCCTTCTGGCTTTCCCCCCTGATGACCGTGCTGACCCACTTGGCTGTCTCGTACTGACGCAGTTCATAGTCCTTGGCCTGAAAGGCAGCAGAAGGCACAGCCACCATGAGCTGGGTGGTGACAGAGATTAGGAGCTACTTTTTCCAAATCAGTACACAAGTATTGTTGCAGTTACCATTGCCTCTGCTGAGCTCCAGCGAGGGGACTGCAGGTCCAGGGACAGAAATGTTTGCTTGAAGGACTTGATCATCTTGCCAGAGCTGGAAGGCAGACACAGTTCATTGGTATCTCTTAAATTAATATGGTACTAGGGCTTTTCAGTTGTTGCTGAGCTGGTGGAAGGCCTGAAAAAGGCTGAAAGCCATTGAGCCCTGCAGGAACAGAGCACCAGGACCAAGAAACTACTGCTACTGGAGGAGGTGTTCTTTCAGGATGCGCTGCCCTTGCTTCTCTGTGACAAAAAGGTATTTCCTGACAGCAAAATGAGATCCTGCAAGTGGGAGTTTTGTGGAAATCTGAGTCAAAAGGACTTCAGACTGTATGCTCCTAGACAAAAAAGCTGTAATGGTTTGGTAGGTTAGCTGGTGTTGATTGTGCTTTAACTTTAGTTGGCCTCTCATGATAGGTGATGGCTTTCTTAAAGGCTTTTAGCCTCAAAGTCCTGTGGATAAATGCGATTTTCTGCATTTCTGAATAAGTAACTTTTCCTTTATAGCCTTCACATGGGAGGAAAAATGGTGAAAACTTAAAAACACTCCCCAGACAAAGTGAGTGAAAATACTCAAAACCAGTGTTTAAATGATCAGATCGGTAAAATGCTGAGATTTTAATGACCTCCATGTATGATTTCTGTTGTTAACCAGGCAGATTGTAGTGTATGATATACATTCTGATAGTCTCTGCCTTGTGTTACATTGCAATGTCCTTCACCCATCATGTTGCAAAGAGCACATAATTCAGTAATTATCTGAATTGTCAGTATCAACTCTCTTGTGCTATTTAACCACTTTCTTGGCTGTTACATCTTGCAATACCTGGACTGCTGTTGAATTCTGTTAATCCCCTTCGGTACCCTGCCTAGAGGTGACTACAAAGAGTTCCTGGGATATGAGGTTGAAAAGTTTTTGTTAAAACACACCATAAAAGGCTACAAAGCCTGGTGGTACTGCGTTCCTTTAGAGTCTGTAAAATAAGTAATATGTGGAGCCACTTCATTGTTGAAGTTTTTCCAGCAGTACCTTCAGCTGTCACCACAGATGAAGGGAAGGTCAGAATCAAACAGCTGGACACAGCTGCTGCTGATAAAGGCAGGTGTTTTCCCTTCCCTGTCCCAGCCTGAAGGTGCATCATCTCCAGCAGACCTGACCAGAATGATGGTCACCAGGGACTGCTGCACACTTGTACTCATTAATAGACTTCATCCATGGTGTTTACAAATCAACAAAGCATCATAAAGCAGGAATCCTTATCATTAGAAGCAAATATGAACCATTACACTGAAACTTCCTCCAACCATTTATTGCCACTTTAAAGACAGTGCTGCTACTTCACACTTGTATTAGCTACTGAACTAGCTGGTTTCTCTTTACTGGCTAATTCCAGCTGCTTCTCAACTTAACCTTTCTGTAGCTACTGGGTAGACCTCACAGCTCTGCATTTTGTAACTTTATGGCCAGTACTGTCAGTGACTGCATGTTAGAAATATTTTTTTTAATTACATAAAACAGTGCTTTAGGATGGGAGAGACAAGCAGAAGAATCCTCTAGATACAGTTGAATTTTTTTAGATGTACAGGAAAGCTGAACTTTGAAATGTCCATCTATTCATATAAATATGTCTATAGGGTGTTCATTTTATTTTCTGCAGCTGTTAATGCATGGGCCCAAGGGACTACTGCAGGTTACACTGCTAGCACAAGTAAGTGCAGGCAGAACATGCCACAGACTACTAGTGCTATTAAGGAAGTGGAGAAGGTAGACATACTTACAGTTTCAGTGCTTGTCCTTCCAGCTGTTGCAGTGTGTCCTGTGGAGGCTGCACATCTTCATAAGATGCTGCATGTCAGTGTTTATTTGAGTTTGGGCAAGCTCCTCCCATGCCTCAACCCTACTGGAGGGGGCTCCTGTTATGAAAACCAGAAGGCTGGAGCCTTGTCCTGCTCTGGGTCTCATTGGAGAGCCCCCACGCAAATGCCAAAGGCCCCACCTACTATCCACAAGGCAACACTGGGACTAGTGTGTGATCTGGCTCCATAAACAGTTTTGCACCCTTGTGTAACTTCCCCTGTTTGCCATGGCTGTGTGCCCACTTATGACAGGGTCAGTGGCAGGTTTTGTGCTTTGGGAGAAAGGATTTCACATAAATAATGTGGCTCTCCCCCCCACCTGACTTGGATTATGGGAGAGTGGTGCTATACAGAATGCCAGCTTTTCCTTTTTACCACAGGGGTGAAGGGTAGGTAGAAATCTGGCTGCACACTCTGCTGAGACCATCCTCACGAGATTTTTGCTGGCATGTTATGAAAGACAGACAGTGTTCTCTGATGGCTGGCTGTTCTGAGCGGCATTTGAGGTTAATCAGCCCTCTTAGCCCTTGGATATCTGCACAAAGGGGTTATACAAAGCTATTGTGAAATCCTGTCCTGCTTATAATACACACAGCGAGGCTGGGCTCTTCATTTAGCCAGCTGCAGCTCCAGACAGAGTTTGGTACCAGCACAATAGGGCAGATTAAACTGCACAGTTTGTGTTCTGAGAACACCTCTCAGTTTGTCATGGTTTGTGCAAATTCCTTGCAGCCAAATTCAGCTGAGCTCTCTGGGACATTTTACATCAATAGCTGGGAATGACTTTTTAACAGGAAACTCTCTTTGCTTGCTGAGAACTTCATCAGGATGCTGTGTGATACGCTCCTGTTCTGAAAAGGGAAGTGAAACCATGCCAAAAAGCGATTGTGAATTTAGCTTTAAAGCCACAAATCTCTCC